CTACTACTACTACTACGTACTATACTTACTACTACTCTCTCTCTCTCTCTCTCTCTCTCTCTCTCTCTCTCTCTCTCTCTCTCTCTCTCTCTCTCTCAATCAGAGAAATTCATGCTCATGTCCCCCTCAATATCTGTTACTATAGGAATCCCACACATTTTACATATTATACCTCTCACTCTCTACAAGTTACACTTAGAGAAATTTATGCTCATGTTTTTCTTTTATCTTTTTTTTTTAATTTTACATTCATACATTTTTGCCATTTTTATTCCCAAAATGACCCCACTTCAGATGTTGATATGACTTCATACCCAACTCCCGAATATTTTTTAACAAAACTTCGAACATTTTTGTTCCAAAGTCAACTCTTTTTTCACTGGGTTTGAAACTTCATGGTCGGAAGTCAAGAGTTTTCTTTCCCGACTTCAGACTTTCACAATCCAAAGTCAAGTTCTGCCAAAATGATAGGATCTTCAAGGTCCGAAGTCATTCCAATAAGTTGACTTCAGACCTTGAAAGTCTGAAGTCAACATTAGCCTTGGATCTTGAACATCCAAAGTCATCACTTTGAGTCTTACTTTCAAAACTTCAAGATCCACGGCAATGTCTTCTCACTTCGGAACTTAAAGGTCCAAAGTAGGCCATTTTGGTAAAACGTGAAAAAAAGGTATGAACATACAGAACAAAGAATTAGGGAGAATTTTATAATAATGTCATTTTGAGGGGACATGAGAGTAAACTCGTCTTAACATTACAATGAGTAGATTTCCCAAAGCTCACTACGACCCAGGATGATTTACAGGCTTGAAGAGAAAATCAAATCTCCTTGCATGACTCTAATGGCTTGGAGAAGGAACCTCTAGAAGAAGACAAAACCATTGATCACAGTTCATAAAGATAAAGAAGAAGTATGAAGAGTAACCAAAACACACACATGATAGAGTAACCAAAACACATAGAATGTAATTTTGCTAATATTTATCTTTTAAAAACTCATTTAAAAAGATCATTCCTGAGATCAAGAAACAATTTAAAGAACAAAAGCAATTGTTTTCAAACAAATTAATCAGGTTCTCAGTAAAGATCAGCAATGGTTTTTTCCCAATTTGAAAAAAACATGTACAAAGACATCTGATTTTTTTCAAACAATTTGAAATCATTTGGAAAAAAAATTAACTTCAAGCAAACTGGTTTCACATAATGCTTTAGGTTACCGATGATCACATGTAGGTGTCAAATGATTCAACTCAGCAGAGGCTAGTCTTGAGCCCCATTTGTGAAAAAAAGAAGGGAAAGAGAACTTGGCAAGTCCCCACAGGACTCAGTGCATCCTTGCATGTTTTGAGGTTTTTCAATTCAAGGAAAATGATACCAATCATTCTGGTCCAGCTAGTTTCACCATCAGAGCCATATGAAGTGCCTTAACTATTTCATTACCAACCCCGAACCACAGAGATGTAAAGCAATCAGGAGATCAACTGTCCCAAATCATTGCAACTTTTATGAATATTTGGGGAATCCTACTATGTTCTGCTTTCACTGTTCCTCCACAATTTCTAACTTGAAAGTTGTAAGAAGTAATGCAACCACAAGCCCAGCACCTCATTGAAAAGTGAAATTTGCACAATTCTTGGAAATTTGCATCAGTTTAGTATCAGTGTAGCACTAGAAAAACACACAATGTAATCCAAAAAAGACTCTGACATTGAGAGAGAGAGAGAGAGAGAGAGAGAGAGAGAGAGTCTCGTACTAACTCGACCTATCGTCGCGTACGGAACGAAAACTAAAGTAGTAACGTAACCTACCGAAGGAAGAACGTAAACTAACAACTATAGTTGACGTAAGTAACTATATA